GGGAGTTACAGAAGTTTGCCGAGACACAGTTCGGAAGGAAAACCTGAATGGCGGAATGAAACTAAATCGTGTTTTGCATCCGAGACCACAGGAGGTTTCAGGTGCTGCTGCTGCAATATGTCGGTCTTAAAAGAGACACTTGGGTGTTAACCAGAGAAAAGATAAGTCATTAAAGGCCTCTTGCACCCTCCATGACCCACAAGGATTTTTTTAAATACAAAAACAAAACAAAACACACCTCCTTGTTTCATTAGACTGGAGTCTCCCCATGGACCGGTAGGGACATCTTAGCATCCTATAAGAGGGCAGGTGAGCATTTAAGCTGCCCAGTTATGCTTAATGGGGCTTTGGATCAAAGCAGAAAATGCATTAGTTCAGATTTGGCCAACCTTTGGCCCTCCAGATGTTGACGAACTACAACTCCCACCACCCCTGGTCATTGGCTATGTTTGCTAAAGCTGATGGGAGTTGTAGTTTGGAGACATCTGGCAGGTCCAAGGTTCCGCGCACTTGCATCAAATCAGTCTTTCCCAAACTTGGGTCTCCAGCTGTTTTTCGGACTACAACTCCCATCACCCCTAGCTAGCAAGGGATGATGGGAATTGTAGTCCGAAACCGGCAGGAAACGCTGAATTAGATCAACCTTTGCTAACCTGAGAGTTCTCAAATCAGCTCTAGCATCAGACTGGCAAAGATGCATATTTGAGGTGTGTGATTTTTCCTTATTTAAGTGTGTGTGGTTTTTGTTCTTTGAACAGCCATCTCAGTGAGGAGGCGAGGTCAGGATTCGGATTGTGCAGGGAGAGATGGGGCCACGCTTTTCCTCCTGCACCACTGTCCTGGTGAAAAGTGCACATGCACGCACACCTAAGATGCTATTCAGCCTGCAAAGGAAGCTCCTGGTTTCCTGCCTCGTTCGGCTGCCTGAGCCAAGCTGAATCATATCCCAGTTCTGCCCAGGACTGGAGATAGCATACCAGTAGTATAACATTTTTCTATGGTTACCCTTTGCTCTGTGTATCAACTGACAGTGCTTCAAAGATCAAATGTAGCACCTTCTCCCTCCACTATCCAAATCCATTCCCTGTTCCCGTCCACCCAAATAAATATCTGTCACCCCAAATTTCCAAATACAGTGGTGCCTTGGTTCTCAAACGCCTTGGTCCTCAAACAACTTGGAACCCAAACCCTGCAAACACGGAAGTAGATATTCCGGTTTGCGAACTTTTTCCAGAAGCCGAACGTGCTCCGATTTGAGTGCCACCCTTCTGTTTTGAGTGTTACGCTGAGGTCTGTTTCTGCTATTTATTTTGCGTTTTTGTTTTTGCGGCTTCTTTGTTATGTTTTTGTGACTCTGTAGAACCTAGTTCAGCTACTGATTGATTGATTGTGTGACTGCAGTACATTGTTTATTGCTTTCATTTTATGGGTCAGTGGTCTCGTTAGTAAAATCCATGTCAAATTGCTGTGTCAGGGGTTGTTTTTAAAAGTCCGGCACAAATTAATCCATTTTGCATTATTTTCTATGGGAAAGCACGCCTTGGTTTTGGAACGCTTTGGTTTTGGAACAGATTAAGTTTGAGAACCGAGGCACTACTGTGTGGCAGGAGAGAAAGGGAACAGATTTATTCCCTGCTTGAGCTGGTGAATTAGACTGCTGTGTCCAGCTGGCAGAAATTCAAGAAGAAAAATGGACCCAGGCCAGTTTTAAAGGCTGCGGATTCCTTAGGGTGATGGTGGTTAAGCGAAGGAGTTAAAAAACAAAAAACCTCTTTAGAAAAACAGAGATCTACCCCCTGGATCATGGCCCAACTTTTTGCTTCAGGGTTCTCATGGAGCATGTAGATGAGATGCTATCGCAGAATGAAGTAGCATCTTTTCAGAGCTGCAAATTTGTATAATCAAGCAATGTCCATGCAGATTCCCCCCCCCCTTTCCTTTTTAAAAAGCATTCTGAATAGCAAATGAGCATTATGGATCAATCAATGAAGCTCTCCACGATGCATGTATCTTTGTTGAGATTTTTTTTCCTTTTTAATGCATCACACATTTGCAATTATTTCTACGCTTCCTCATGGATATTCCTGCATTTCTCCAAAGCACTGGAGGTATAAGAACTTGCCACCGACCGACCGACCCGAACCTCCCACCCAACAACCCACAAACACACAAACCTGGCTATACTTAATACTCTACAAGTTCTAATATAGCTACACTTGGAGATACACCACAGAATTTGGTTACACATACTCTATAGCCGAAAGCATTCGGGAGCAAGCCTTAATAGAACACGTCACACACAAATACAGTACGGTTTTTGCATTCAGTTCAGGAGTCAAAGCCAAGCCCACAAACATTTGCTACCCAGTTATCATACAGCTCACCCCACCCTCACCCCCACCCCACCCCAGCCTCTGAGGCTGCAATCCTAAAACCTCCACTTACACGGGAGTAAGCCCGGCTGAATTCAATAGGCCTTACTTCTGGGCAGACATGGTTAGGTCTGCAGCCCGAGATCTGTTTTCCCCCTAACCTGGTTCTGCGGCAAAGACAGTATTTCTGCTTCTTTCTCAACTACCTCAAAAAATGTACATTCTGCAAATCTTGCGCTCTATAAATAATAATACTAAGAAAGATTCATGGGGTAGGGAGGGATGTGTGTGGAAGCCTTTCTCGAACATCTCCATAGCAACTGTGGACCTGGAAATTTGCCCTTTTGATCCATCCCAATCGCCCTTCCTGTTTCGTTAGTGTTCTTTTAAAAACTAATTGGCAATTTGAGGCCAAAGAGCAATTAAACCCAACGGCTGCTTCTCTGGACAGTGAATTATTATTTTTCCAATCGCTTGCAGTGATGTTCTTACTTGTACATTGGAGGAACCAGAAAAACAAACTAAAAACTGTTTTGTCTTTGACACAAGAAAGCCCCCAGGGCCTTTGATGAACCTACCCTGTATTTTCAGAACTCACCTGGAGAGATACTAACTAGTATTCTTCAAATTTGTGATGGTGGTTCAGCAGCGAACAGCTGACATTTGCATGACGCCATCGTCAGTTGCGTGACATCATCACGAGGTCATCTGCTGGTGCTGGCTGTCCTCAGCAGACTCCAGGTTTATACAGTCTCTCACATCACACCTGCGTGGATATCTGACATAGCATACATGTGACACACACAACGCTTGATCTGCCCTTTTTCAGAGGCGAAAATGTTGGGCAAATCATGACGTCGGTGCACATGGCTGCCAAGTGGAGATCTTGAAATTTCATGTTATTTTCAGCATGGGGTGGAAATGAGGAGAGTTCTCTGCTGTTGGCAAGGTATGAAACCAACCTCTGCTGAGGACAACCGGTCCCAACATGTGAGCTCAGGTAGGGCTAGGAGAGACCTCTGAAACCTGGGGAGTTGCTGCCAGCCAGTGTAGGGAATACTGAGCAAGGTAGACCGAGGGCATGGTACAATGCAGCTTTCTATGTGCCATAATCTGAAATCAGCAGGGTTCTGGCCATACCGTTTAGACTGACCACAGAAATCCCTGGGTCTTTTTTTATATTCTGGAAACCAAACCGTTCCCTTTTTATTTTCTGGTTTCTGATCTACCGTATTTTTCGCTCCACAAGACGCACCTAGTTTTTGGAGGAGGAAAACAAGAAAAAAAAAATTCTGAATCTCAAAAGCCAGAACAGCAAGAGGGATCGCTGCGCAGTGAAAGCAGCAATCCCTCTTGCTGTTCTGGCTTCTGGGATAGCTGCGCAGCCTGCATTCGCTCCGTAAGACGCACACACATTTCCCTCACTTTTTAGGAGGGAAAAAGTGAGTCTTATAGAGCAAAAAAATACGGTACTTCTGCAAGGTTTTCTACCCCTGAACCTCTGAGCTACGTGGATTTGTAAGCTGAAAAAGAGCATTTCCACTGGGAGATGTTTAACGTCGCCATTACAATTTTCGAAACCTCGCACGGTGCAGGCTGTAGATGTCCAAAGAAACTAGGTTAATGGGAATTGCACGGTTCCTCCCCCCTCTTTCCTTCTGTCATGCTTAGTAGAACTTTCTCCTAGTGACGTCACAACATGAGATGCTCTCCACTCTGATTGGCCGAGGCGGGGCTAGGAAATACGGGACGCTGTGACATCATAGCAAGCGCCACGTTCTCCTAAGGCATTGTGGGTGGGAAGGGGTGGGCCCTCAAATTCCAGGTCACGGGTTTTGCATCTGTCCTCAAAAATGAAGGGGCTGATCCTGGCCCCTTTCCAAATTGCTTAGGAGTGACAAGGCAGTCCCGTTCACCCCCACAGAAATGTAAATTACTTTGACTTTTAAAAAACACCGCAAGGAGGTTCGGGAGGGCTACCAGATAGATTATTTTTTACGCACGAACCAATATTTATTTTACACCCTCTCTTAGTGGTATGAATTGAGGTTGTTCTTCCTCTGAGCTTTATAGGCTAAGGCATAAGAAAGGGGCACTCGGGCAAAGACTAGTATTTGTTTTTAAGGGAGCTGGAAGTGGTCAAATGGGATTATGCTTTCAGTGTGTGAATACACACACACTCCCTTTGCCTCATTCTTGCCCCTGGGTCCAACAGGTTTGGCAGGATTTTTGATGCCCCAAAAAACCAGGCCAACCTGTTTATCCGGGGCGAAAGCTAGACAAGAAGACCTGTCTTCCAGCCCCTGTCCTGTTCTATCTCCCCCCTAAATCTCTGATGTACACAGACTGAAAACTAATCTGCTGTGCCTTTTCCTGCCTCCTATTACGCTAGGCAGCCAAACAAACCCCCCCCCCTTGCAAAAAGGAGGCTTTCTAATCCGCCTTTGAAATCAAAGATAAAAAGCTTCTAATACAATTGGAACACAGGCAGATTAGAAGCCTCTAATTAATTTTGTGGCCTTTATTTAAAAAAAATAAAGAAAATAAAGAAAATAAAAGGAGGGGGGGATAGAAAACGAGAGAAAGAGAGAGAGAGAGAAAGAGAAAAGCAAGTAAGAGCAGTGAAATTTACTCTTTCGCCTCGGCCAATTTATTGTTCATCTCTTTACTCTTCTCCTTTTCCTCGGCGTTTGTTGCGCTGGGCCCCTCGGCGCTCTTTTTCTTAGACGACCGGCTCGAAACCATCTGCTTATCTTTGGCCTTTTTCAGGGGTTTATGGCTTGTGGTCGTCTTTTTTGGCTTAGAAGGCTGAGGGCTCGGCTTCTCCACCTGGGCGGGCGCAACCGGCAAGCCGCCGCCGGCACAAAAGAGAAACAACACACACAACACACAAGGAGAGGTGAGGGGGAGGGAGGAGAAAAGCGAATTTAGAGAGGCGTTGCCGAACGGTGGCAAAGGTTTCATCGAGAGGGCAGCGTCAAGGCCTTTAAGCCAGGCACAGGCCAACTCGGCCCTCCAGATGTTTTAGGACTACAACTCCCACCATCCCTGACCACTGGTCCCGTTAGCTAGGGATGATGGGAGTTGTAGTCCCAAAACATCTGGAGGGCCGAGTTGGCCTATGCCTGCTTTAAGCTGACTGGTGAACTAACCTGTCCTTAGAAGCATTAACCCTCTTTGTGTATGCACCACCATCAGGGTTGTGGGCCACAAGATTTGCCTTGCATCTCTGTCTGATATACAGTGGTACCTTGGTTTAAGAACAGCTTAGTTGATGAACAACTTGGATTAAGAACGCTGCAAACCCGGAAGTAGGTGTTTCGGTTTGTGAACTTTGCCTTGGAAGCAGAACATGTTCCACTTCCTGTTGAGTGTAAATTGAGTCCCCGGGTGCTATGGGAAAGCGTGCCTTGGTTTAAGAACGCTTTGGTTTAAGAACGGACTTCTGGAATGGATTAAGTTCGTAAACCAAGGTACCACTGTATGGAGCATTAGGGGACAGTTAGTACCACTGGTAGGGACATGCTGTGCTCCTTCTGGGGTAGTTTGTCCAGCTTTGGTGGCCACCCAGCACTCAGTTCTCACCTGTGGCTCCGCGGAGGACCTTAAGGTCCACAAATGACAACATTTTGGAGGTCCCAAGACGCAAGGTGGTTAGATTGGTCTCAACTAGGGCCAGGGCCTTTTCAGTACTGGCCCCGACTTAGTGGAACACTCTGTCACAAGAGACCAGGGCCCTGCGGGACTTGACATCTTTCCGCAGGGCCTGCAAGACAGAGCTGTTCCGCCTGGCCTTTGGTTTGGACTCAGTCTGACCCTTATGTTTCCCTCCCCTTATGGTCTTGATTTATCAGCTACTTTAAAATGAGGCTGCATTTTAAATTGGTTTCCCCGCCCCCTCTCTTTCTCCCCCTGAAATATACTTGGAGTCGAGAGTGGATTTCATGCTCTTTATTCAGCTCATAGTGGTGAGGAGGAATGGAAGTTCCCCCAGAATGTCTGCTTTATATACATTATTTATACAAGGGGACCCACATGATTGGCTAATTCCGGGATTCTCCTGTAGGCCAATCAGATTGCGGATTCCCTTCCACCTGGAGCTGGATTGGGTGGCTCCTGCGGACCAATCAGACTGCTGAATTCTGGACCCTATTCCTCTAGGACCAATCAGACAGCTGCATTCTGAATCCTATTGTTCTAGGACCAATCAGACTGCTGCATTCTGAATGCTATTCAACTCAGTACATAACACCCCTTTTACTGTGATTTTATTGGTGTTAGCCGCCCTGAGCCCAGCTCTGGCTGGGGAGGGTGGGGTATAAATAAAGTTGTTTATTATTATTATTATTATTACAGTGGTGCCCCGCAAGACGAATGCCTCGCAAGACGGAAAAACCGCTAGACGAAAGGGTTTTCCGTTTTGAAGTTGCTTCGCAGGACGAATTCCCCTATGGGCTTGCTTCGCAAGACGAAAATACCTTGCGAGTCTTGAGATTTTTTTCGCTTTCCCCCTTTATCTAATCTGCTAAGCCTTTAATAGCCTTTAATAGCCTTTTAGCAGCTAATCCCCTAAGCCTTTAAGCCTTTAATAGCCGCTAAACCGCTAATAGCGCTAATAGCGCTAATCCGTCAATGGGCTTGCTTCGCAAGACGAAAAAACCGCTAGACGAAGACTCTCGCGGAACGGATTAATTTCGTCTTGCGAGGCACCACTGTATTATTATTATTATTATTAGATGCTGTCAGGAGGCAACAGCGGCCACACCCTAGGAATGGCTTCAACTGGCCAGCTAAACCAGGTGAGGGAAGCTGATGGGGTCTCAAACCCTCAAGGAGTTAGGGGTTCCCCCTGCATGCGAAGACAGGCTCTGACAGACTGAGTGGATGAGACCAAGACTGGGTCCAATGGTCAAGAAGGAGGTTTCTGAACATGCCGTAGAGCAGAGACGTCCGGCTCCCATGAAATTGTGATTTACTCACAGAATAAAAAACTGGCAATCAGGTCAACTTTCTTTAGGGAGGAATGTCAAAGTTGCTGACCTTTTTAAAAGGGGAGGGTAGTAATGTTGAGCCTTCTTTAGGGGGAAAGTCAGCGTTTTCATTTTTGCAGCTTCTCTGTTTTGTTTTCGTGACTCTGTGGAACCCAGTTCAGCTACTGAGTGATTGTGTGGCTGCAGTACACTGTTTATTGCTTTCATTTTATGGGTCAATGGTCTCGTTAGAGAATAAAATCCATGTTAAATGGCTGTTTCGGGGGTTGTTTTTAAAAGTCCGGCGCAAATTAATCCATTTTCCATTATTTTCTATGGGAAAACGCACCTTGGTTTTGGAACGCTTTAGTTTTGGAACGGGCTTCCAGAACAGATTAAGTTTGAGAACCAAGGTACCACTGTGTGGCAGGAGAGAAAGGGAAAGGAATTATTCCTTGCTTGAGATGGGTATTTGAAACCCCCTGTTTAGCTGGGGAACGGCTGATGCAATGCTCCCACTATGGTGAATTAGACTGGCAGAAATTCAAGAAGAAAAATGGACCCAGGGCAGTTATAAAGGTTGTGGATTCCTTAGGGTGATGGTGGTTAAGCTAAGGAGTAAAAAACAAAAACAAAACTCTTTAGAAAAACAGAGATCTACCCCCTGGAACCCTCTTGGGGATCAACCAGTCGATCGTGGTTGACCGGGTGGACATCCCTGCTGTAGAGCCTAGCTGTCAACGTTTCTCTTTTCTTGTGAGGAATCCTATTCGGAATAAGGGAATTTCCCGTTAAAAAAAGGGAAACATTGACAGCTATGCTGTAGAAGGGAGTGAGGGGCAGATGGGGCTAGTCCACCTGGGAAGGGAGCCCATCTAGGAGAAGGAAAACACTGATCCTAAACTTCCACTGCCTTGTGGGACATCTTCAGGAGACGAAAAGACTCAGTTTTTTCTTTATTTCTATCTCTGCCAAGCTAAGCAGTTGGCTCCTTACCTCTCTCGCCCTGACCGAGCCACTGTGATCCATGCGACGGTCACCTCCAGACTGGATTATTGTAACTCGCTCTACGTGGGGCTGCCCTTGAGACTGACCCAGAAACTCCAGCGGGTGCAGAATGCCGCGGCAAGACTTCTTACGGGGTCTTCACTGCAAGATCACATTCACCCGGTGCCATACCAGCTGCACTGGCTCCCGGTGGAGTACAGGATCAGGTTCAAGGTTCTGGTTTTAACCCTTAAAGCTGTAGGATCCTCATACTTATGGGACTGCCTCTCCAGGTATGTCCCACGGAGGACCTTACAGTCTTCAAACAAAAACACCTTGGAGGTCCTGGGCCACAGAGAGGTTAGGCTGGCCTCAACTAGGGCTTTTTCGGCCATGACTCTGATCTGGTGGAACGCTCTGTCACAAGAGACTAGGGCCCTGAGGGACTTGACATCTTTCCGCAGGGCCTGCAAGACAGAGCTGTTCCACCAGGCCTTTGGCCAGGGCACAGCCTGACCCCCTCCTTTGGAAATCCTCACAGAGCTTCTAGCCCAATAGCTGCCATTAATCTGATTGGAATTAATTTTATAATGAAATTATTTTAGAATGTTTTATCATTTTACTGTTGTTAGCTGCTCTGAGCCTGGCTTCGGCTGGGGAGGGCGGGCTATAAATAAAATTTATTATTATTATTATTATTAACCCTACACAAATCCAAAGTGGAGTCTCTAAGATGGTTGGATGGTACCTTGTACGCCTCGTGGCGATTCCTGTAGCCTAGCTGGTGCCAAATGCCTTGCCCTGCTTTCCTTTGGACCACATCATCAAGACTGAGAGGGGGGTCTTGTCATTTGGGAAGCACCGGACCTCCAGGCTTGTGCCCCAGAGAGGTCTCTTTGGTGCTGCTAATGTCCTGTTCACCCCTAAAGGCGCACTCCATTGTCTCTCAAGACAGACGAGTGCCAACAACCTATATTTCCAGTCCGTTTCTGAGTCACTGTGCATTCATTCTCCACTAAGATCTGTGCTCTAGGTTCTGGGCTGCTTTGCATAAGTGAAGCTCTGTGTGCCCTGTTCACTATAATTGGTAATATAAAAATGGGTGTAACGTCCCCTTTTGGTCAAAGTTATTGGATTAAGTGGATTAGTTAAAGGTAAAGGGACCCCTGACCATTAGGTCCAGTCGTGGCCAACTCTGGGATTGCGGCACTCATCTTGCTTTACTGGCCAAGGAAGCCGGCGTACAGCTTCCAGGTCATGTGGCAGCATGACTAAGCCGCTTCTGGGGGACCAGAGCAGCACATGGAAATGCCGTTTACCTTCCCGCCAGAGTGGTACCTATTTATCTACTTGCACTTTGACGTGCTTTCAAACTGCTATGTTGGCAGGAGCAGGGACTGAGCAACGGGAGCTCACCCTGTTGCGGGGATTCGAACCGCCGACCTTCTGATCGGCAAGTCCTAGGCTCTGTGGTTTAACCCACAGCGCCACCCGCGTCCCTCTTAAGTGGATAAGCTGCCCAAAAAATTGCAGCCAGATATATCCAGGGAGTTTTGTGCAGGGCCCTTCTAAAACCTTGGGCAGTAAAGGCTGAGAGAGACCCCTAGCCAGGGCCCTGAAGAGATGCCCCGATCTCTGCCCCTCACACCACCATCCCCGAGAGGACAGAAAATGTCTGACGAGGCTCCATGTGTGGTGGTGAAGGCAGCATCCTGAATCCTGCGGCACAAGGGAAGCTGAGAGCCAGTGCTCTGCAGATCCAGGAAATTAATCTGCTTACATCAGGGGTCGGCAAGGATTACTGGGCGTGGGCCGGATCACTCAAACAGAGATCCTCTGTGGGCCAGGCCAGCACAGCGCGACGCTGGAAATTGCGTCTGCGCATGTCTGGAACACGGGTGGCGCTGTGGGTTAAACCACAGAGCCTAGGACTTGCCGATCAGAAGGTTGGCGGTTTGAATCCCCACAACGGAGTGAGCTCCCATTGCTCGGTCCCTGCTCCTGCCAACCTAGCAGTTCGAAAGCAAGTAGATAAATAGGTACCGCTCCGGCGGGAAGGTAAACGGTGTTTCCGTGCGCTGCTCTGGTTCGCCAGAAGCGGCTTAGTCATGCTGGCCACATGACCCGGAAGCTGTACGCCGGCTCCCTCGGCCAGTAAAGTGGGATGAGCGCCGCAATCCCAGAGTCGGCCACAACTGGACCTAACGGTCAGGAGTCCCTTTACCTTTATGTCTGTGGTGCCGGATATCAGTTCTGCACATGCCCAGATGCTGAAAATTGCGCCTGCGCAGAAGCGATTTTCAGTGTCTGGGCATGCGCAGAAGCAATTTCCGGTGCTGCCGACATGCGCAGACGCGATTTCCGGCATCTGGGCATGTGCAGAAGCGATTTACAGAGCAGCGGAAGAGAGTCCCCACGCCACGCTGTGCCTGTTTAGTGCAGCGTGCGGGAACTTGCCAAGAGGGCAGCTTGGTTTGGGGGCGGCTCGGGGGCCAGTTAAATGGCCTCCGTGGGTTGCTTCTGGCCCATGGGCCACAGGCTGGGGGACCCTGGCTTACATCAGATCCTGTATAGACTTGTAGTGAACAAACAAGGGCACACAGAGATACTAGGGGTTATTATAGGCCCTGAAAACGAAACAAAAACCCCAAGCCCTGTAGCTTTTGCAACAGTGGGAGCCTGATCTGATGGTTCCTAGTCTCTGTCGAATCTGGTTTGTGGGCCAAAATGAAACTGAAGTCAAATCACAGAGCAGTTCAAGGAGGTGAGAACCTCTGAACTAGCCAGCCAACTGGACGGGATGTTAGTGGGATGCGCGAGGGAGTGGTGCATCCTGCTGACCCCGCAGAGACTCCCCCTCCCCAAATTTGCCACAGAGCATGGAGGGAGGACCTCCCCCCCTCCAGATGACGCTGGACTCCAACTCCCATCAGCCCCAGCCAGCGTGCGAGGAAGCAGCATACAAAAGTATGAAGTAAACGAATGTTTTGTTTCGGCGGGGAAGTATCCCACAGAGGAGCCGTACTGCCTGTCTCCCGTCTCCCTTACCTTTGTGATTTCCTTGTAGGGCTCGCTGTACAGGCTCCGTATCCTCCGATGCTCGAGGAATTTGTTATCCGAAGGGCCGGGCTTTGCCCCTTCGACAGTGAACTGGGTGCTGTAACTCGTTTTGTGGTTCATCTTCCCCTCCGGAAACTTGTACTGGGGCTTGACCTTGATGGCTTTCACCGGCTTGACGTCTGTCCAGGGTTGGAATTCATTTCTGAGGGGAAGGCGGAGAGCTTGAGTGAGAAGCGGGAAATCAAAAGGCTGGCCAGAAGGGCTAAGAAATAGAATGGCTTCAGTAGCTTTCTGTTTGTACACACCGTTATGCTGAACAGTGTCGGCTGTTTAATTGACACCGAAAGGAGAAAATGCCTAGATGTGTATCACTGAAGGCTTTAACGTGGGGAAATTCCACTGGAGTATACTAAGTGGTCTCTGAACTCCTTGATGAGTTGATAATAACAACTGTTGTCTGCTGGCTAACATGTGAGTGTTTAACCTTAGATCAGGCGGCAAAGGTATTTGGTTGCAAATGTGCCATTTTAGAAGGGTGGTGGCTAAGTCTTTGCTCTCAGGCTCTGTGGGAGTGAGATGCTACCCATAACCTAAGATGCTGCACAGCCTAAGGGGCTGAAATGCAGGCAAAATGGAGCCCGCGTGAGAGACAGCTATGTTAGTTGGCTCTGATTATAGGTTTCTTTTATTTCTAAGAAGATGGGTCTGTGTTTGACTTGCACAAGATGGAATTATGGAAAACCAATAAAAAAATAATTGGCACACAAAAAAAGACATTGTATGGAATTATTTGGATGTACCTTTGATTTTTTCATTCTGTTTTTGAAGAAAGTTCTGCAAGTAAAGTTTCAACAATCTAATGGGTCTAGACCAGTGTTTCTCAACCTGTGGGTCCCCAGACGTTGTTGGACTACAACTCCCATCATTCCTAGCCAGCATGACCAGTGGTCAGGGATGATGGGAGTTGTAGTCCAACAACGTCTGGGGACCCACAGGTTGAGAACCGCTGGTCTAGACGATGTTTCACTCCAAAAGGAGCAAGTCTTTATGCATCCGGTGACTTCACGCTGAGCAATATTAATATCTGCGATAGACACAGAGGGCTCCCCCACCCTCTACCCAAGGGTTTGGGGGAAGAGGCTGTTGCCATGTCAGGTTGCCTGGTCTTTCAAAACTCAAGAGCCAGAGCTGGAGGCTACAGAGTGATCAAGGGCTGGAGCTTAGTATCACTTGGTAGGGGACTAAGGTGGTACTGGGCAGGTCCAAAAGAAGATCCTGGTTTAGATCTGTTAGATCAAGCGTGGACCACTGAAACTGGAAGATAGGAAATTGCCTTCTCCTGAGTCTGACCATTGGTCCATTTACCTCAGTGTTGTTGGCACTGACTGGCAGCAGCTCTCCAGGATTTCAGGCAGAGGAGATGCTGAGATGAAACTTGACAACCTTCTGCACAAAAAGAAGGTATTTCCCCATCTCCAGTCAGCACGTCTGTCTCATGCTTGTGGGGTTCAGTGGCACTGTAAAACTTTGAGGCCATTGACAGTGGAACCTCGGTGGTCGAACACTTCGGAAGTCAAACATTTCAACTTTCGAACAACGACAACCTGGAAGCAAATTCTTCTGTTTTTTCGAACGCACCTCGGAAGTCCAACAGCTTCTGAGGCGCATTTCTCCATATTTTCCAACGGATTTTGCCAGGCGCCCATTGCGCCTTAGTTATCGAACGTTTTGGAAGTCAAACGGTCTTCTGGAACAGATTACGTTCAACAACCGAGGTTCCACTGTATAAATTTCCTCCGTTTGGGGGACTTTTGTTTGTTTTAGTGATTTGTGCAGCCTCTCTGGAAGCCTCCCCCCTTTTGGGGGGTAAAGTCATTTAAATAAATAAATGTATGATGATTAGACACCATTCCATACATGTTTTTGTTTGTGGTTCTGCATGCCCGCCCGTGGAATAACAGAGTTCAGTAATAATCTCTGAATTGGGTTTTCTGTGCATCCTAGTTCCAGTCTACAGTGGAATGTGTTTTGCTATTCATATGTTTCAAATAGTTGTTTTTTTTAAATAAAAATTGAGATTTCCCAAGCTTGGGAATGTCATAGTCCTATTGTTTTTTTCCTGTTCTTTTAGATGCAGCCATCTTATGCTATGCCACACCCCTAGGGCAGCCATTTTGTGTTATGTCATGACCGGTTGACAACCATTTTGGTCCCCATGGGAGCCATTTTGTGACTGGTGTCCATGACCACATCCTCAGAAGACCTCACAAAGTCAGCGAGCTTTTCCGCAGCCCCCCAACACGCTCAAGGGCTGCGTGCCTTTGGTATTCATACTCCGAACAGTCACTTATTTCATGAGTTTATAACAGCCGGAGCCAGTAAGCTGGCCAGAAATTTAGGGGACGCTGGGGAATATTCACATCCTCGTCTTTGTGGGGCAGGGAGCAGAATCCACTGACACAACGTGATATGGATAAAATGAAGTCCCTGGAGACTGAAATGTGGAATAAGGAGACTTGATTCAACACTACAGCCGAGCTCAAAATGGCTGCTGTCCGTGGTTCTATTTCCCCCAAAATGTTGTCCTCCATGCTCCCGTTCCCCAAACACTTTGGTTCCTGCTACTATAATGAAGGAGGCATGTTTTTCTATTTTACTGTTTTTTGCGTATTAGCATTGTTGTCTGTTTTGTAATTTCAGGGTTCACAGGGCTGTTAAATCATCATCATCATCATCAGTAGTAGTGATAGCAGCATGCCAGCTTAGAGGAATTTTTTTTTTTTTAAGGTGAGCTTTCTGAACAAGAAAATAAACACCCATAAACTTCATATGAGCATACGAAGAGCCGCCTGGATCATAGCTGTCAACGTTTCCCTTTTTTAAAGGGAAATTCCCTTATTCCAAATAGGATTCCTCGCAAGAAAAGGGAAAAGTTGTCAGCTATGGCCAGAGGCCCATCTAGTCCAGTATCCTGTTCTCACATATCCCTTCAAATTCATAATATTTTTGTTTACTGTACCATAACTTTAATGTAGTTCTATTTATATCTAAAACTTTCAACTCTTCCCTCTTTTGGTCTAATTTTTCCTTATCCTTCTTTTGCTTAGACATCCTAAATTTCTCCTCCAATATCCTGACCTCCTCTTCTACCTCCCTAATCCATCTATCTTTCCCTTTTTTAAAAACACTGACAAGCTCTGAATACATTCTCCCCTAATGACTGCTTTCATTGCTTCCCATTTTGTTGTTAATGGGAGATCCGGGTCTTTATTTTCCTCAAAATACCTTTTTAGCACTATTTTTATTTTAACCTTACTCTGTTCATCAGCTACCAACCAAGGGTTAAACCTCCAAGAATAGGACCTATTAATATGACCTATTTCATAGAATCATAGAATCATAGAGTTGGAAGAGACCACAAGGGTCATCGAGTCCAACCCCCTGCCAAGCAGGAAACACCATCAGAGCACTCCTGACATATGGTTGTCAAGCCTCTGCTTAAAGACCTCCAAAGAAGGAGACTCCACCACACTCCTTGGCAGCAAATTCCACTGTCGAACAGCTCTTACTGTCAGGAAGTTCTTCCTAATGTTTAGGTGGAATCTTCTTTCTTGTAGTTTGGATCCATTGCTCCGTGTCCGCTTCTCTGGAGCAGCAGAAAACAACCTTTCTCCCTCCTCTATGTGACATCCTTTTATATCTTTGAACATGGCTATCATATCACCCCTTAACCTCCTCTTCTCCAGGCTAAACATGCCCAGCTCCCTTAGCCGTTCCTCATAAGGCATCGTTTCCAGGCCTTTGACCATTTTGGTTGCCCTCCTCTGGACACGTTCCAGTTTGTCAATGTCCTTCTTGAACTGTGGTGCCCAGAACTGGACACAGTACTCCAGGTGAGGTCTGACCAGAGCAGAATACAGTGGCACTATTACTTCCCTTGATCTAGATGCTATACTCCTATTGATGCAGCCCAGAATTGCATTGGCTTTTTTAGCTGCCGCGTCACACTGTTGGCTCATGTCAAGTTTGTGGTCAACCAAGACTCCTAGATCCTTTTCACATGTACTGCTCTCAAGCCAGGTGTCCCCCATCTTGTATTTGTGCCTCTCATTTTTTTTGACCAAGTGCAATACTTTACATTTCTCCCTGTTAAAATTCATCTTGTTTGTTTTATTTATTTGTTTTATTTGAAGGATGGCAGATACAGGGGCATGGTCAGTGATCTTAATCATTCTGATATTCATTCCCTTCACCCATGCCCTAGCCTCTTGAGATATTAAAATACCAACAGGATTTGAACACAAGACCCCTCTCCTCTCCTGCAGCTTCCAGGAACTGGTACCCAGATTCTGACAGGTGATGGGCTCAATATAAACAGCTGCACAACTCTACTGGTACTAACAGTTGTAGCTCAGGAACACAGTTAAGGGGAAGCTGCTTTCTGTTCTCTATATCTCCCCATCCTCCTAAAACAAACTTTCCAAAGTGGGAGATAACTGTCACTGTCAAACGGGGGGGGGGGACGACTATCCTTGGGTGTGATTGGGCAGGGGGGTGTTGAATAAAAATAAGGGGCACTGGAAGCATAAAGAAAAGAAGAAAATTTTGAAATTAGCTAAAATGTATAAGACAAATAATAAACGTTGGAAATGTAAAGAAAAAGAAGGAACATTTTATCATATGTGGTGGGAATGTAAAAAAGTAAAGAACTGGGAAATGATATATAATGAGATGAAAAAGATGTTGAAATATACATTTTTTTAAAAACCAGAAGCATTTTTACTTGGTATTATAGGTCAGGACATTAATAGGCAAGAGGTTAAATTGTTTTTATATGCAACAACTGTGGCAAGAGTATTGTTAGCCCAGAAATGGAAACAAGAAGAAATTCCGACGAAAGAAGAATGGCAAACGAAATTAATGGACTATGCAGAATTGGACAAAATGACAGGAAGGATTTGAAACCTGCGGGACCAGAGATTTACAGAAGATTGGAAGAAGTATATGAATTATTTGAAGAGCAACTGTAGTCAACAAATTACGCTAGCAGGACTACAAGAAGTTTTGTAAGGAGAAATATACGAAGTGTTACAAAGTAGAAAAAGATAGAGATATTGGTTATGAGTTTGAAATGTAACAGGGAAGATAAGAAATGCATACTGAGAGACTAGATTGGAAAATTTTCAGACAGGACTGATGGAAGTCAAAAATTTGAATAAGATGTAAAAGTATGTTTAATTACTGTTGAAAATGATGTTTTAAAAACTAATAAAAATTATATATATATATAAAAAAAGAAAATTTTGAAAAACCGTTCACATATGTTCCATGTGTTGTGTAATGACGCTTAGCAATGCAACATCAAAGCCGCGGCGAGCGCTTTATTTTCCAAATAAACTCGCAAAACTTTCTGTGTGTAATGTGAATACAGGGGTACCTCTGGTTGAGAACGGGATCCGTTCCGGAGGCCCGATCGCAACATGAAAAGAGTGCAACCCGCAGCAGCGCATCTGCGCACGCGCGGGATGCGATTCGCCACTTCTGCGCATGCGGTCATTTTGCGCTTCTGCGCATGCGCGAGTGGCGAAACCCGGAAGTAACCCTTTCCAGTACTTCCGGGTCACCGCGGGACGTAACCTGAAAGAACGTAACCTGAAGCAAATGTAACATGAGGTATGACTGTATCACTATGGTTGATTTTAATAAATCATTTTATGATTTCAAGCTTCAAGGTGTCTCATTTACAACAACAGCTTTCTTTACTGTGTTTCAGGACACAGGTAGAAAGAAAGATACAGTGGTACCTCAGGTTAAGTACTTAATTCGTTCCGGAGGTCTGTACTTAACCTGAAAGTGTTCTTAACCTGAAGCACCACTTTAGCTAATGGGGCCTCCCACTGCGGCTGCACGATTTCTGTTCTCATCCTGAAGCAAAGTTCTTAACCTGAAGCACTGTTTCTGGGTTAGCGGAGTCTGTAACCTGAAGCGTATGTAACCCGAGGTACCACTGTACACAAAAGAATGCAAATTTATCTCTGCATCTTTGTTTTTTTCGCTTAAAGAAGGTAGATGGGGTATGTATGTGTGTGTGTGTGCTGAGTAAATCTTTCCCCCCTGAAAAGTAGGGTGGTAGGCCAAATAAGTTTAGGAACCCCTGTTCTACAATAGCAATGAGAGGTAGGGTGTGTTGCTGTCAAACATCTCTGAGTTTCCACCATCCTCAGTGGAAAATAATCAATGAGAGTTGATGGTGGACTGACCAATAAGGTCTGCTTTATTCCCTTCCCCCTTTTCAGGATGATCAATCCACTTTGCAATCCATTTGAGTGACAGCAGGCCGTGACGCTGCGTCCTTACTCCAGGGCAGAAACACACCCATTAATTAAAACCTAGCCGGTCGTTAATATTCAGTGCACACTCCAGGCTAGCGGCAAACTGCTTGCAAAGACCACACCGCAAACACCACAAGCAGCCAATGTGTTTCTGCACGCATATGATTTTCCCCCTTGCATTAACGGCATCCCAGAAGGGAGATTTGCATGTAGATCAGGGCTCCACTCAGTGGATTGAGATCTGCGTCGTTTCTAACAAGGAACTTTGGCCCAGACCAGCCTTCCTCAGCTTGGTGCCTTCAGATGGCTTTGCTGGCTGGGACCGATGAGGGTTGTAATAAGGACAAATTCGCTGTTCTGAGCGCAATGCAAAGTTTTGGTGCAGACCTTTAAAGCCCTAAACGGCCCTATATATCGGAAGGAGCATCTCCACCCCTGTTGTTCAGTGCAGACACTGAGGTCCAGCTCCGAGGGCCTTCTGGCGGTTCCCTCACTGCGAGAATTGAGGTTACAGGGAACCAGGCAGAGGGCCTTCTTCGTAGTGGCACCCAGTTTGTGGAATGCCCTCCCATCACATGTTAAACAGATATACAACCATATGATTCTTAAAAGACACCAGGGAAGTTTTTAGTGTGTTTTATTATTTTTTGTTGGGAGTCGCCCAGAGTGACTGGGGCAACCCAGTCAGATATTATTATTATTAGTATTAGTATTAGTATTATTACTTTACTACTACAGTGGTACCTCGGTTCTCAAACATCTCCATTGACGAATGTTTCAGAACCCAAACGCTGAAAACAAACTTTGTGCCTCACTTTTCAAACATTTCAGAACTCAAACGGTCTTCTGGAACGGATTACGTTTGAGAACCGAGGTACCACTATCTTATTATTATTATGGCTATTGATGGCTACTTGCAGGGCCGGATTAAGGTTTGATGAGGCCCTAAGCTACTGAAGGCAATGGGGCCCTTTATATGTCCAGCCGTCCTTTGTCAACTACAAATTGTTGCTGTTTTTAGTGTTGATTATATGCTATATGGTAATTTATGGACCTAACAGGTACAGAAACCCATTTGCACATGTTGCCGTGCAACCAGTCCATGCAGAATGCAGGCACCCTATATATAGAAATGAGCAAACCAGTGATATTTTCGGGTGCAGGCTAGCAGGCGGGGCCCATGACTTACATTGTAGGAGCCTACACAACACAAAGCACTGTTGCTGTATGTAGGTTTTATTTTATTTGTTTTTTAACTTATATTTTGGAAATGTACATCCAGGTTTCCCCCCCCTCTAATTTTTTGGGAGGCCCCCAAGAGAGTGGGGCCCTTAGCTATAGCTTGTTTAGCTTATACAGTGGTACCTCAGGTTACAGATGCTTCAGGTTACAGACACTTCAGGTTACAGACCCCGCTAACCCAGAAATAGTACCTCGGGTTAAGAACTTTGCTTCAGGATGAGAACAGAAATTGTGCTCCGACGGAGTGGCAGCAGCGGGAGGCCCCATTAGCTAAAGTGGTACCTCAGGTTAAGAACAGTTTCAGGTTAAGAGTGGACCTCCAGAACGAATTAAGTTCTTAACCAGAGGTAGCACTGTACGTAAATCTGGCACAGTGGGAGGCAGAAATGCTTCTGAACATCAGTTGCTGGAAACAGGAAGAGGGGAAAGGGCTCATGGGGTTGAATCGGGCTTGCAGATTTCCCACGGCCATCTAGTTGACCCCTTGCCTTTCTGAGACTGAAACCCTCTAGCTGTCACTCCTACCGTCATAAGAGCATCAGAAGTTCTGACAGCGGCCAACTGGATGCTTGTGATGAAGCCCAAAAGCAGAACTAGGAGCAACTCTCCTCTCCAGTGGTTTCCAGCAACTGTTGTTCAGAATCATTGGAAGGGACCACCTGTTAGAATTCCTGCTCCGTGATTGCAGTCATGGGGTTGTTGTCTTGCACATGACGGTGTATGTTTTGACACCACAGAGTGGGAAGTGATGGAGACAGGATGGTTGTGTGACTGTGTTCCGTGAAGTGGGACTACTGTCCTTTGTCCTTTTTCTCTTTGGTGTCTGATGCTAGAGAGAGAGGGAGCCATGTTGCAGTGCTCCCTGTGTGTTTATATGTAAATAAAATAGATTAGCCAAAAGGCTGAGTTGCTGAGATCTGTCACCCGAACTGTGCAGACTCTGTGGATCCCTAAGTGTGCCGGTGACGGTGGGCATTCGGGCTGAAGAAAGCTTTTGAAGCTCCCGAACGAAAGTCCAGGAAGAAGAAAAAGAGTTTGGATTTGATATCCTGCTTTATCACTACCCTAAGGAGTCTCAACGCGGCTAACAATCTCCTTTCCCTTCCTCCCCCACAACAAACTGTGAGGTGAGTGGGGCTGAGAGACTTCAGAGAAGTGTGGCTAGCTCAAGGTCACCCAGCAGCTGCATGTGGAGGAGCAGGGAAGCGAACCCGGTTCACCAGATTATGAGTCCACTGCTCTTAACCACTACACCACACTGGCATGTGTCTCTGCCAGGGTCCTACTCGGGTGTAGGCTGAACTCCTGACACCACCAGGATCATCTAGTCCAAACCCCTGCAATGCAGGAAACGTTGGTCCAGTTTGAGGCTCAAATACACAACCCTGAGAATAAGAGTTTCGTGCTCTAATGGACTGAGCTATCCAGTTCATCCAAGCATTGCATTCTCCAGCCACAGAGCCAGAGCATCACCTTCATGGCTGACAGCCATCGATAGCCCTCACCTCATCCATGAATTTGTCTAATCCTCTTTCAAAGCCATGTAGGTTGGCGGCCATCTGTCCTGTGGCAGGGAGTTCCGTAGTTCAACTACGTGCTGCTTTTTTCCTCTGTCTCAAAACTTCCAACATTCTGGACGAGATGCATTCGGGATGCCGGACTAGATGGGCCATTGGCCCTGATCCAGCGGGCTCGTTTCATCTTCTTGCAGGAAGCCAGAGGCATCGATTGATGTTCCCTTGGTAGCAGAACACTGAACCTTTTAGTATGAGATGAAGGCAACTCTGAATGGGTTCTTCCTTGAAACCCCCCGAGTCCAGTAGCCCACTTTTCCTACTTCCCTGGCCCTAATGCAAAGATGAGGAGGGGGACCTCCAGGCAGGCGTGGAAAGAGACATGCCACCGAGTACGCCTTCATTAAAAAGCTCTGCCTCGTGCGCATCACCGAGACAAAAGGCACATGAATAATGTAACGTGCAGGATCTAAGAATAAGCGCAAGTCGTACAGAGCTCTACAACTGGTTTGGGGCCCGGCACGTGTGTCTCATTTCACTGTAGTTTTTCTTTTAAATTTATTTAATCATTTTTTCAATACAAACAACAACCGCAAAAGACACATACAACAAAAACCATAATAACACAATTTGACAATTCAGATTTGAATACACTGATATACCTATGACTACACCTTTTAAACAATCTTTTCCCACCTCTTTCTCCACCCCCCCACTGTCCACCTTATCACTTAAATATTCATTCCAGATTTCTTCATATGTATCTATTCTTAATTTGCGTCAACATGCAATTCGTTCGTATGTAGCTAATTTGTCCATATTATCAATCCGTGTGCTCAGTGGAATCTTTTTGCGGCTCTTCCAATTCATCAAAACAAGTTTTTTTTGCTTCTAATATGAAAGAGATCATTTCCGGGGTGCGCACTATCCTGCGCTATCTCTGCAGATTTCTTATGGCACCTGGAAGCATAGATTTGATCCAAGGTGGGAAAAGTGTACCCTGTTATTCTCTCTGCAGTCTTTACAACCCTGGACAGCATTGTTTTTTCCCTGGCCGTGCAGCTCCCAAACCACACTCTCAAACATAAGTTAGTACACTCTCCACAGTGCAATGGTAAAATGCCATCAACAGGTCCTTTGAGAGATTGTTTTTCCAGAGGATTCTCAGAAAATATAACCTCTGCTGTGCTCTCTTCGTCAGGTCTTTGCTGTTTTCTCCCCAGGTTAGGTCGTCTGTCAACTCCATTCCCAGAAATCGAAACACCAAGACCTGTTCCACGCACTTCCCCTCAATAACAAGTGGCTGAATATTCAATTTACATTTCCTAAAGTCCACAATAATCTCTTTTGGTTTTTTAAGTTAAGGAGTAAGTTGTTTTTCCTGCACCACTCCTCCAACTGCTCAACTTCCTTCCTGGAGGCCGTGACCCCCTCTCCGGCCGTGATTAAACCAACCACCATTGTATCATCTGCAAACTTAATGATCTTATTACTGGGGTATTTGGGGGCACATACTTTCCTTGCTTCTCCAAATGAGTCAGTACAGCATGTAAAGCATGTAAAGCCATTGCAAAAGCATCCTCCATAGTAGCCCTCAATAGCCCTTTCCTCCACCGTGAATTTGCCCAACCCTCTTTTAAAACCATCTACATTGGTAGCCAAGGGACGTGGGTGGTGCTGTGGGTTAAACCACAGAGCCTAGGACTTGCTGATCAGAAGGTCGGCGGTTGGAATCCCTGCGACGGGGTGAGCTCCTGTTGCTCGGTCCCTCCTCCTGCCAACCTAGCAGTTTGAAAGCACGTCAAAGTGCAAGTAGATAAATAGGTAGCGCTCTGGCGGGAAGGTAAACAGCGTTTCCGTGCGCTGCTCTGGTTCGCCAGAAGCAGCTTAGTCATGCTGCCCACATGACCCGGAAGCTGTACGCCGGCTCCCTCGGCCAATAAAGCGAGATGAACGCCCCAACCCCAGAGTAGCCCGCGACTGGACCTAATGGTCAGGGGTCCCTTTACCTTTTAGTTCCCTTGCGTCTCCAAATGAGTCAGTACAGCATGTAAAGCCATTGCCACAGCATCCTCTGTAGTAGCCCTCGATAGCCCTCTCCTCCCCCGTGAATTTGTCCATCCCTCTTTTAAACCATCTACATCCTTGCCTACTGTGGCAGGGAGTTCCATTGTTTACCTACGTTTAACTATGTGCCGAACGAAGAAGCACTTTATTTTATCAGTACTGAACCTTCCAACGTTCTGTTTCTTTGGACGTCCACAAGTTCTAGTGGTTTGTAAGAGGGAGTGAAATGTTTCTCTGCCGCTTCCTCCATTCCATGCATAAATTTGCAAACTTCTGTCATGTCCCCTTTCTTTCTTTCTTTCTTTCTTTCTTTCTTTCTTTCTGTCTGTCTTTCCCCAACCTAGTGCCTTCCCTGGCTGCAGCTGATGGGAATTGTTGTCCAAAACAGCTGGGTTGGGTGAAAGCCCCTGAACACCGGGAGAGGTAAAAAAAATGGCAGCTGTGCCCCCCCCCAAAAAAAACTCTGGTTGCTATGAAAATCTGAAGCAGTGGTATGTTTGTCGAGTCTCTCCCTGGAAACGAAGGGTGATAAATGCATCCCAAATAGTTTGGCTCATTCCAGGCCACTTAGAAAGCTGGACATTGGCACATGCAGAGTCTAAGATGCTTGAGAGGCTGAAAAATCAGAAAGCATGACTTATGGCTGTCTTGCTGAAGGAAAGCAAGCCTGGGGTTTCTGGTCCCTGAATTGGAGATTGCCTGGGACCCTCACCATGTATACCCCCTTGATTTCAATCAGAGAAGAAAAATGCGATGCAGATGTAACCAAGAATTATATATGTTTCATATGTTGCATCTGCAAGATGCACGTTTTCAGCTACATGAATCTCCACCAAACCAAAAAGTCCAGCCAACTCCACCACAACTGCTCCCTCCAGATTTCCTTTCTCAAACGCCAACTTTCCCCAAGACTCAGAGGTTGGTGCAAAGGCTCCAGGGTTTGGCAGCCGTTTTCGTGTTCCTTCTGCACCATTTTTGCAGTTTCCCCGCTGGTTTGGGGTCGGTTTTGCCGGTTTCATGCCTTTTCCCAGTTTGAACTGATTTAGTTAATTATTTCCTGGCACCACGCATATCGCCGAGGTCTCACGCAAGTCAAACACATGGAAGTAGGGATGCACCTGTCCACATGTTTGTATTTGAAAACGACAATCGTGTGGATGAAATAACTTCAGCAAAGCAACTACCTGTTTGCTTGCTGATCTGTTCACTTGACCACTTCCATCTGCAGAACCATTGCAGGAGCCAAATAACGCCCATTCAAGATTTGAAAGAAATTAATCTTTCCTTATGGTAGCAGCCACACTTGGAACTCCCTGCCTATTGATGTCAGGCAGAAACCTTCACTGTACTTTTTTTTGGTGCCTGCTAAAAGCATTCTCCACCTGCTTTTTGGGAGAAAAGCCATGACAAACCTAGATAGCATCTTAAAAAGCAGAGACATCACCTTGCTGACAAAGGTCTGTCTAGTTAAAGCTATGATTTTCCCAGGAGTGATGTATGGAAGTGAGAGCTGGACCATAAAGATGGCTCATCGCCAAAGAATGGATGCTTTTGAATTCTGGTGCTGGAGGAGACTCTTGAGAGTCCCATGGACTGCAAGAAGATCAAACTTCTCCATTCTGAAGGAAATCAGCCCTGAGTGCTCACTGGAAGGACAGATCCTGAAGCTGAGGCTCCAATACTTTGGCCACCTCATGAGAAGAGAAGACACCCTGGAAAGACCCTGATGTTGGGAAAGATGGAGGACACAAGGAGAAGGGAACGACAGAGGACGAGATGGTTGGACAGTGTTCTCGAAGCTACCAGCATGAGTCTGACCAAACTGCGGGAGGCAGTGGAAGACAGGAGTGCCTGGCGTGCTCTGGTCCATGGGGTCACGAAGAGTCGGACACGACTGAATAACAACAACAAAAGCATTCTCATTTAGGAAAGCCTATCCAGCTATGCTGCCATGTCTTTTAATGTGATTTCTAGCTAATTGCAGATTTGGATTCTTTTCGAATGTCTTAAGTTAGTTGTTTGTAAGTGGGTTGTTTTAAGCCAATAATTTCATTGTTTCATCCTTTCTGTCTTGCGCAAAAAGTGGTGGCCCCTCCCAGCTCTCACCTGGGAGCTTTCCCTCCTCCTCCCAGTCTCTCACCCTGGGGGAGGCGGTCTTCCCTTCTCCGCCTCTCAGGGTCCTTATACCACCTTCATGGGTATGTAATCCTTGGACCCTGATACCAGGCCAGAGCAGAGAAAGGAAAACAAAAAAGAAGAGAAAGGAGAAAGGAGAGAGAAGGAAATAACAGAAGAAAGAAAGAAAGAAAGAAAGAAAGAAAGAAAGAAAGAAAGAAAGAAAGAAAGAAAGAAAACAAGGACTTTTCCTTTTCCATCTGTCAGTTAAATAAAAGAAATTACCGGTATTCAATACATTCCCTCTAGGATGACATCCAGCTATTCTACTTTCCGTTAAGCAACATTTCCCCAATCTTCAGACCCAAATGTCTGAAATTGTTTTTAACGGATAATTCCATTGTTCTATTCTTTTTGTCAATGGGTGGTATATAATTCTTTTCCTTCCAATATTTTTTTATTATTTTCTTTACATTACATATTCTTTCTTACCATAGTAAAGGTAAAGGGACCCCTGACCATTAGGTCCAGTCGTGGCTGACTCTGGGGTTGTGGCGCTCATCTCACTTTACTGGCCGAGGGAGCCGGCGTACAGTCATGTGGCCAGCATGACTAAGCCGCTTCTGGCGAACCAGAGCAGTGCACGGAAACACTGTTTATCTTCCCGCTGGAGCAGTACCTATTTATCTACTTGCACTCTGACGTGCTTTCGAGCTGCTAGGTTGGCAGGAGCAGGGACCGAGCAACGGGAGCTCACCCCATCGCAGGGATTCAAACCGCCAACCTTCTGATCAGCAAGTCCTAGGCTCTGTGGTTTAACCCACAGCGCCACCCGCGTCCCCTTTCTTACCATACATTTATCAATATATAAACCTTTTTGCTCTGCCGAGCTTGTGACCTCCCTCCATCCCTTCAGTTGGTATCCCTTATCAATTTCTTTTCGCGTATTTTATCATCACATCTTATCTATTTTACATTGTAGGAATTACTTCAATACTGCTAGCGTTTTTAAGTCTTTACAGCTGTCCTTTAAATATTCAATAAATTTACTCCAATTGTCCTGGAATCTCTGCATGGTATATAATTTTTAATGAAACAAATCGCTATGAGCACGCTTTCTGAACTTATTCTGGTTGCAGTATATGATGTGATGCAAAATCTGATCTCTTTGAAAAGAAAAAAAAAATAATGTACATGCACAGACTAGGCTTCGCTGCAGCAATGCCTCAGGAAAGCAAACTTAGGAGCTCTCCGTCGTTTCAACACCATTTTCTACAAACAGATGACCTCTTTTGCAAAAAATAAAAAACAAATCCTGGAGCCCAGCTTCTCAAACTACTAATTTAGTCCTGCTTCTCCCCATGTCAAGAATCTCTGCAAACATCAGGGCCGCCCCCAAAGGTCTCAGGGGAGTCTGCAAGGCAGGCAGAGAGCCTCGAAGCAGATGGCGAGATTGAGAGTCATCTTTTCTTTGTTTAATTAGCCATCCACTATAAAAGGACTCAGTGACTGAAGTGGAGGCAGCAGTTGACAGGCTTTTGCTGTGTCACAGGTGGTGTTTGTGAGAAAGCCATCATTAAAAGAGAGGGAGGGGGGAAAATCAGTGTCAACCATCACATTCTAGATAATGTGCAACGTAGCTTCGCAGACACTCTGCTTAAAATTTAATGCGTGCCACGGTTTAGTCCTTGCGGCTTAGTCCAAACTAACGCTCCCTTTATTTCTGTTTGATCCTCTCCCACCCCAGGGGGAGAAACAGCCTTTGCATGTCTCCTGAACATGCACAAGTCCTTATCAGTTTCCCCGTTCATAACACTAAGGGGGGCATCCAATACACTCGACGCTGTTAGTAGGCACAGCAAAAGTTTTCCCTCTTTCCTCCGCTTGAATGTGCCCCACAGTTCTGCTCTGGAGGAGTAGGAGAACCCCCAGAACAGATTTAGGGGATGGAGATGGGGAGAACACGCAAGACGAACAGTCATTAAACAGCCTGGGAGTCATTCTGGACTCACAGCTGTCCATGGAGGCACAGGTTAATTCTGTGTCCAGGGCAGCTGTTTATCAGCTCCATCTGGTACGCAGGATGAGACCCTCCCTGCCCACAGACTGTCTCGCCAGAGTGGTGCATGCTCTAGTTATCTCCTGCTTGGACTACTGCAACACGCTCTACGTGGGGCTACCTTTGAAGATAACCTGGAAACTGCAACTAATCCAAAATGTGGCAGCTAGACTGGTGACTGGGAGTGGCCGCCGAGACCATATAACACCGGTCTTGAAAGACCTACATTGGCTCCCAGTACGTTTCTGAGCACAATTCAAAGTGTTGGTGCTGACCTTTAAAGCCCTAAACAGCCTCAGCCCAGTAGACCTGAAGGAGCGTCTCCACCCCCATCGTTCAGCCCAGACACTGAGGTCCAGCTCCGAGGGCCTTCTGGCAGTTCCCTCCCTGCGAGAAGTGAGGTTACAGGGAACCAGGCAGAGGGCCTTTTCAGTGGTGGCGCCCACCCTGTGGAACGCCCTCCCATCAGATGTCAAGGAAATAAACAACTATCTGACTTTTAGAAGACATCTGGAGGCAGCCTGTTTAGGGAAGTTTTTAAGGTGTGATGCTTTATCGTTTTTTTAATATTCTGTTGGGAGTCACCCAGAGTGGCTGGGGAAACCCGGCCAGATAGGCGGGGTATAAATAATAAATCACTATTATTACTATGGTGATAATGATGATGATGATGATTGCTTTCTCCTGCTCTGGAGAGTAGGAACCAAACCAACATCTTCAAGCTACCAGAAAGGAGATTCTGACTAAACATCAGGAATAACCTTCTGAGAGCGACAACAGTTTGACATTGTAATGGACTCCTTTGGAAGGTCGAATGGATTCTCTATCTCTGGATGGTCATCTATCAAGTATGATCTAGTTGAGATTCCTGCACTGCAGGGGTTTGGACTAGATGACCCCTGGGTTCCCTCCCAACTCTACAATTCCGTGATTCTATGGCAGCTCCCTGTGTTATCAATATGATTCCTAATCTGGGGAAGAGGCTCAGTGGAAGAGCAACTGCCTTATATGCAGGAAGTCCAAGGTTTGATCCCCAGGATCTACAGATATAATTGGGAATCCCTAAAGAGCTGCTGGCAGTCAGTGTTGGCAACACTGATCTAGATGGACCAGTGGCCTGATTCACTGTAAGACAGCTAGCCTTGGTTCCTACGAATTGCAGTGCAAGAAAGGAAGAAAGCACCCATCACTTAAACCAGAAGCGACGAGCCCTTTCTTCGGCCCAAGACCTCCTTGGCCAAACATTCCTGCCATAAACATCCCCTGATAAAAGGGCCACTTGGAGCTAGCGGTCATCGCCACATTTTGTGGCAGGGAGTTCCACAAGTACGCAGGAATCTCCCCATTGCCGTCTGCTGCAGGAGTGGACCAGCCCAAGATATGCTTGTGGTTGGAGTAAAGGTCAAGATGTTCCCATCATTCAACTCAGAGAAGTTGACTGGCGGCGGAATGCTATTTCAGCACTGGACAGCGCCCTCCTGGGGGAGGTAGATGAATGGAGGTGACACAAGGAAGCCTCAGTGACCCTTTTCTCCATATCACCACCCTCACAGGCATGGTTGGTGGGAATGCAGGAGAGGGTCTTCTCTGTGGTGGCAGCCCCCAGGCAACTTTTGAACTCCCTTTCTGGAGAAGTTCAGAGGCCTCGGTCCTGTATACCTGAAGGAGTGTCTCCAGCCCCATCGTTCTGCCCAGACACTGAGATCCAGTGTCGGGGGCCTTCCGGCAGTTCCATCATTGCGAGAAGTGAGGTTACAGGGAACCCGGCAGAGGGCCTTCTCAGTGGTGGCACCCGCCCTGTGGAACACCCTCCCTTCAGATGTGAAGGAAATAAGCAGCTATCCTATCTTTAAAAGACATCTGAAGGCAGCCCTGTTTAGGGAAGTTTTTAATATTTAATGCTGTACTGTTTTTAACATTTGATTGGGAGCCGCCCAGAGTGGCTGGGGAAACTCAGCCAGATGGGCGGGGTATAAATAATAAATTGTTGTTGTTGTTGTTGTTGTTGTTGTTTATTGTTTCCTCCTTTCTGCCCTTCTGCCCGCACCTTTGTTCCAACAGGCCTTAGGGAACTGACTGCCTTTCATGAAAGAGCTGGTTCTAGCCCACTTTCACTGCAATTATTTGTATGGTTTTAATAGATTAGATAAAATGGTAAAGGTAAAGGACCCCTGACAGTTAAGTCCAGTCGCAGACGACTCTGGGGTTGCGGCGCTCATCTCGCTTTCAGGCCGAGGGAGCCGGCGTTTGTCCAAAGACAGTTTTCCAGGTCATGTGGCCAGCATGACTAAGCCACTTCTGGCGAACCAGAGCAGTGCACGGAAACGCTGTTTACCTTCCCACTGGAGCGGTACCTATTTATCTATTTGCACTTTTTTGGCGTGCTTTCGAACTGCTAGGTTGGCAGGAGCAGGGACTGAGCAACGGGAGCTCAGCCCGTCGCGGGGATTCGAACTGCCGACCTTCTGATTGGCAAGCCCAAGGGGCTCAGTGATTTAGACCACAGCACCACCCGCATCCCAATAGATTAGATAGTTTTGATTCTATCAATTGTTTTTCAATTCTTACTTTTTCTATGTTTCTAGCAGTTCTTGTTTTTATCTGTATGCTGCCCCTGTCAGGGAAGAAGGCAGGGTATAAAATAAATAATAACCAGTGCTATTTTTCTAGGGAAAGGGGTGCCAGAATTCACCATGAACACCTCCCTCATTCTTTTAGAATGGCAATGGTGCCCACCTGAGTGGTGACAGAACTGAGTTCCAGCTGAAAAAAGTAATAATAATAATGATAATAATAATAATAATAAAAATGGCCCCCAAAACACCCAACACCTTGCTGTCCCTGCTTGAGGCAGCTGTCATTTTATTTTATTTTATTTTATTTTATTTTATTTTTTTATTTTATTTTATTTTATTTTATTTTATTTTATTTTATTTTTTTATTTTATTTTATTTTATTTTATTTTATTATTTTATTTTATTTTATTTTATTTGCTAGCCCTGGAGAATGAGTGTAAGAGGGAAAAATGGGCACTGGCCTACAAATGTTCTAAAATGAAAACAAAATAAAGGAAATAAATTTGCAAGAGTTCAAACGAAGGCAAACCTCTTGGACAGCTGGAGGGTGGTAAGTATCTGCTTTGAATGCAGAAGGTCCCAGGTAGGACTAGGAATGTCCCCTGCCCAAAAAACCCCAGAGAGCTGCTGCTAGTCAGTGCAGACACTATTGAGCTACATGGACCAATGTTCTGATTCCTCTTAAGACAGCTTCCTGTGTTCTTATTGAACTGGGTGGTAAAACACCCTGTGTCACCTCACTTCTGGATGGTGGTCTGCAGCTGATGTGGTCTGCCATGGAGGTGCTGGAAGAAGCAAAGATCACCAGTGTTGAAGCAATGATTCCTCAACATCAACTTTGTTGGACTGGTCATGTTGTGCGGATGCCTGATGATCGTCTTCCAAAGCAACTACAGTGGTACCTCGGGTTACAGACGCTTCAGGTTACAGACACTTCAGGTTACAGACTTTGCTAACCCAGAAATAGTACCTCAGGTTAAGAATTTTGCTTCAGGATGAGAACAGAAATCGTGCTCTGGCGGCACGGCAGCAGCAGGAGGCCCCATTAGCTAAAGTGGTGCTTCAGGTTAAGAACGGAGCTCCAGAATGAATTAAGTTCTTAACCTGAGATATCACTGTACTCTATTTGGAACTTAAAAATGGAAAGCGTAATGCTGGTGGTCAACAAAAGAGGTTTCAAGACACTCTCAAAGCAAATCTAAAAAAATGTAGCATCAACACTGACAACTGGGAAACACTGGCCTGCGAGCGCTCCAATTGGAGAACAGCCTTTACCAAAGGTGTCATGGGCTTTGAAGACGCTCAAACTCAGGACAAAAGGGAGAAACATGCTAAGAGGGTTGCTTGGCAAACCCTCACCGTAATCAACTCCCACCCGAAAACCTGCGTCCCCACTGTGGAAGGACGTGTGGATCCAGAACTGGCCTCCACAGTCCCTTATGGGCTCACTGCGAAGACCGTGTTCATGGAAGACAATCTTACTCGGCTACGAGTAATCGCCACAGAGGAAGAAGCTGAAGTCAGCAGATAACCTGCTGAGTTACTCCCATAATATTTATTGATGTGGGGAGGGGTGGTGCAAGCGAGAGACAGAGAGAAAAGCAGTGCAAATTATGGATCAAGAAAAGCCATCAGGATAATTTGAATCCTTATGGACCTTCCATCCATCACCAGGCACTTTCTATTACAATTATAATTGCTAGATGCTGCTCCGAACCTCCAGGGAGCATGGGAAAAGATGCAAGGGATCTCAAGGTCAAGGCAGACAGGAAATCAGCCAGACAGCCTGTTAAAGGGGAGGGCTCCTTCATCACCAAGTTGCACTCATCCAAGGATAACAAGGGTGCCAACCAGAATGAGCTTAGTCCAACCCAGCTCACATGTAATCTGATAGACTGTGTGGAAGCACCCAGAGATAAAAGGAGAGATTAATATAAGAATATTCGGGATTCCTGGTGTATGCCAAGGCACTCTGGGCTCAGTGCTTTAGCTTCAGTGGTTCTGAGGTTGACACGGAGCAATGGATCCAAACTACAAGAAAGAAGATTCCACCTAAACATTAGGAAGGACTTCCTGACAGTAAGAGCTGTTCGACAGTGGAATTTGCTGCCAAGGAGTGTGGTGGAGTCTCCTTCTTTGGAGGTCTTTAAGCAGAGGCTTGACAACCATATGTCAGGAGTGCTCTGATGGTGTTTCCTGCTTGGCAGGGGGTTGGACTCGATGGCCCTTGTGGTCTCTTCCAACTCTATGATTCTATGATTCTATATAGGTAAAGGTAAAGGGACCCCTGACCATTAGGTCCAGTCGTGGCCGCCTCTGGGGTTGCGGCGCTCATCTCGCTTTATTGGCCAAGGGAGCCGGCGTACAGCTTCCGGGTCATGTGGCCAGCAGGACTAAGCCACTTCTGGCGAACCAGAGCAGCACACAGAAACGCCATTTACCTTCCCGCTGGAGCGGTACCTATTTATCTACTTGCACTTTGACGTGCTTTCGAACTGCTAGGTTGGCAGGAGCAGGGACCGAGCAACGGGAGCTCACTCCGACACGGGTATTTGAACCGCCGACCTTCTGATCGGCAAGTCCTAGGCTCTGTCGTTTAACTCACAGCGCCACCCGCGTCCCTAGGTTGACATATCAGGCTGCCCAATTTTTGTGCGTGAGTTGCAGCCGTGTAGGAACAAATTTGGCATGGGGACTCTGCAGCCTCTCAGATCCTGATTATCTTCTTCCAAAGCAACTACTCTATTCCAAACTTAAAAATGGAAAGCATAATGCTGGTGGTCAACAAATCTACACCGTGATCAACTCCCGCCCGGAAACCTAGGTCCCCACTGTGGAAGGACGTCTGGATCCAGAATTGGCCTCCACAGTCACTTACGGACTCATTGTTAAAACTGTGCTCATGGAAGACAATCTTACTGAGCTACGAGGGATCGCCAAAGAGAGAAAACTGCCACTGTCGTGCTTTCTATCATTTTAAAGTGCTATTTGATGTTTAAATTTGGTTTTCTTTTCCTTTCCTTTCCTCCTTTGCAAGCCACTTTGATTGCAATAGCAAAAAATCGCTAACAGAAATCACCTTGTGCAACCACACTTGGAAGACGCTAAAAAGTTCAGATGGTGTCAGCTGGAAAAAGTTCAGAAATGGCCACCCAAAAACGTTCAAGGTGCAACTCTCCCTTTTTAAGTTGGGGGAAAGGAGGGTAAGATGGGGGGACCATGACCGGGAGCGTATAAAATTGTGGTGCAGAGAAAGCAGAGATTTCTTTCCCCTCGCACATAACAATGGAACTCAGGAAGATCCAATAATAATAAAAATGAACGTTGGTTGATTCACGCTAGATAGAAGGAAGGAGGGCACAGACCATTGTTAATCTGCAGAATGTGCTTCACGGATAGCCACCAACTTAAAAATGGAAAGCATAACGCTGGTGGTCAACAAAAGAGGTTTAAAGACTCTCACAAGGCAAATCTAAAAAAATGTCGTATAAACACCGACAACTGGGAAACACTGGCCTGCGAATGCTCCAATTGGAGAACAGCCTTTACTAAAGGTGTCAGGGGCTTTGAAGACACTCGAACTCAGGACGCAAGGGAGAAACGTGCTAAGAGGAAGGCACGCTTGGCAAACCCTCACTATGATTGACTCCTGCCCAGAAACCTATGTCCCCACTGTGGAAGGATGTGTGGATCCAGAATTGGTCTCCACAGTCACTTATGGACTCATTGTTAAAATCGTGTTTATGGAAGACAATTTTTCTCAGCTACGAGGAATCGCCAAAGAAGAAGTTAGACTACAATTCATCTTCTTCCTGGGCAATGGCTTTGGTGGGTGGGGACAGGTGATGAGAGTCAGAGTCCATCTGAAGGACCACAGGCCCACCTGGAGCAAATGAATGAGAGAATTAAGGTACAAGCATCCTTGGACACATTTCAGTTGGTTAGAGCGTGGTGCTGATAAGGTTGCAGGTTCGATCCCTGTATGGGACAGAAGCATATTCCTTCAATGCAGGGAATTGGACAAGACGATCCTCATGGTCTCTTCCAACTCTACAATTCTATGATTCTGTGATAAGAATTTTGTATCATGTGTTATGTTGTGAGGACCTTGCCACAGCGGCAGAAAGCACCGAATCTATAGCTCTTACTGCTCCCGAGAGTCTGGACCAAAGGGTAGGCAACCTAAGGTCCGGGGGCCGGATGCAGCCCAATCGCCTTCTCAATCCGGCCCATGGACGGTCCAGGAATCATCGTGTTTTTACATGAGTAGAATGTGTCCTTTTATTTAAAATACATCTCTGGGTTATTTGTGGGGCCTGCCTGGTGTTTTTACATGAGTAGAATGTGTGCTTTTATTTAAAATGCATCTCTGGGTTATTTGTGGGGCATAGGAATTTGTTCATTTCCCCTCCAAAAAATATAGTCTGGCCCACCACACGGTCTGAGGGACGGTGGACTGGCCCACAGCTGAAAAAGTTTGCTGACCCCTGGTCTGGACAGCTCTTCTCTAAAACATTGCAATGTCCTCTTGCAAGACTCTAGATAAGAGCTACAGTTTGCAGGCAGGAATTTTGCAAAAGTTTGCATGTTGACTACACAGATTTGCCATGATCTGAGCAGCTCCTGGAAAGCTCACATCAATCACCGATGATGTCGTTTTGGAGGTCTTCATTGCCAGATTTAAGAAAATGCAGGTTTCATAGCATGGGGGAAGGGAATAGGTTGTAGCATTCAATAAGGCCATATTCAAAATGCAAGAACGCGACAAGCTTGGAAACACAGGGGCATGTGACTAGCCCATTCACAGGAATGAGTTTCACAGGTCTGGGAAAAGCAGGGTGTGCCAAACCCATTCACAAAAGTGAGTGCCAGCAAGTGACTGGTTTTTGTGAGAGTTTGTGAAGCAGCTGTGATCTGCAAGTAACAGGACCTGAGATCTGGCCTGATTTGGCATTCAATAAGCTTTTAATTACACCCACTCCTTAGGAGTGTATGTTTATTTGTTTGCATGTTCTGCAAGCCTCTGAAAAGTAATTTTCACCCCCGCACACCGCACCAAAACTATTATTCATCCTTCCTGCTCCGTGCCTGAGATCTTACTCTGCTTGTGGATTTGTTAACGGGAAAGAACCCGAAGGAACATGACGGAGGGTTCAAGTAGCAGCTATCTTGGGGAACAGCTGTGAGCATGAGTGGTGAGGGCCAACAAAAAGAGCCTAGAGATTGTAGCCAGCGGTGGCTGGTCACCGCTGTGATTGGTAGAGAAGAAGGCAAGGAGCAACCAATATGTTTAAGGGTCTGGAAACCCAGCCTGATAAGGAACGGTTGAGGGAGCTGGCCAACCAGATACCTCCAGATGCCTGAAAGATGTGCAGAAGAGGGCAACCAAGATGATCAAGGGTCTGGAAACCAAGCCTGATGAGGAATGGTTGAAGGAGCAGAGCATGTTTAGCCTGGGGAAGAGGAGAGGGACAGAAGACGTGCCAGCCATCCTCAAATAAGGGCTGTCCCATGGGAGGAGGAGTATGCTTGTTTTCTCCTGCTCTGGAGGGTAGGACTGGAACCCACAGCTTCGAGTTACAAGAAAGGAGATTCTGACTCAACATCAGGAATAACTTTCTGATGGTAAGAGCTGTTTGACCATGGAACAAACTCCCAATGAAGGAAGGTGAGGACAGGTGACCTCACCTAGGCCCGAAGTCACACCCCCCCAAAGCAGTCTCAAAGCTTCTCAAAGCTTCTCAAAATCATTTTCTCAGCAGCTAAGCATCAGAAACATTCCGTTCTGCTGTAACAAAGGTAGAGAACAGTCCATTGTTTCTCAGGCCTTTCTCATGTCTTCTGGCCTTGCTAAAGAACCACATTGTAACTTGCTTTCTGTCCGGGAACCATGCCAGAACAAGAGATTGAAACATATCTGAACATGCTGAAAACCCCTTGGCTTCTCACCCCCCCCTTTCCTGGGAAGGGTGCCAAGAGTCCAATAGTCCCAAGACAGCTTTCTGTTCATGCTCAGAGGAACTCCTGAGGGAGGAGAAAGGGGGAGGGAACTGGAAAGGGGTATATATGCTTGTGCACATGATTGTGAACTCGTGCATGCTTTTTGTGACTTATCACACTTGCTCCTTCTACCAGTTCATGGATGGTAGAAATAAAAGCCTTTTCTCCGAAACTATTCCTTGAGTGTCTGTTGACTCCCACTTCCCTTTCCCAGGCGCAATATTTTTCCCACCCGAGGGCAAAGCCTCATAAGGCTACACCACAAAAGGTTGTGGGTTCTCCTTCCTTGGAGGTTTTCAAGCAGAGGTTGGATGGCCATCTGTCCTGGACGCTCTAGTTGAAGTTCCTGCATTGCAGGGGGTTGGACTAGATGACCCTGGTACCCCCTTCCAACTCTGCGGTTCCATAATTCTATAAGCAGAACCAGAGCCAATGACTGGCAGAGGCAACTAATTCTAGCGTTGTCCCCATCCTCTTCCTTCTATAAAGTCCTAAGGTGAGCCTATGGAGGAGGAAGCTGATAGGAAGATAGGAGGAAGGAAGGCAGGCAGGCAAAGACTGGCGAGCGAAGAATGAGGTTAGTGGGTCAGAGCTGCATTTGCCCCAATGGACCACCCCTTCCCCGGGGCCACTGAGATGCAAGGAGGAGGTCTCAGCACTGGGAACCCCAATGATTGGAAAGTTTAAAAATAATAATCAGAGGGAGAAGTCACTGTTTTTCAAACAGCTCACTGAAGATTGAGCATGTTCAGTAGCCAAGGAACAACAACAACATTAAATTATTAATTAAATTTGTATACTGCTCTATACCTGCAGGTCTCAGGGCCATTACAACAACAACATTAAATTATTAATTAAATTTGTATACTGCTCTATACCTGCAGGTCTCAGGGCCATTACAACAACAACATTAAATTATTAATTAAATTTGTATACTGCTCTATACCTGCAGGTCTCAGGGCCATTACAACAACAATATTAAATTATTAATTAAATTTGTATACTGCTCTATACCTGCAGGTCTCAGGGCCATTACAACAACAACATTAAATTATTAATTAAATTTGTATACTGCTCTATACCTGCAGGTCTCAGGGCCATTACAACATAAAGCCACAATATAAAAGCACAAAATACATAATAAAAACGAAAATGAACACAACCCAGTAACTGCTGCAAAAGAAAGCTATAGAAAGGCAGGAAGTGGAATGATAAGGAATGGAATATGTTCGTTCTGTATCTGTTGAATAAATGATGTTTAGAGGAGAATGTGGCAGGAGGTGTTTTTGGGTCCTTAGGACTGGGGGTAGGAAAGGATACAGAGCCTCCATTTCAGGGGTTGGATTAGATGACTTTCAGGGCAGTGGCAGAGGAACCCTCTCTGGCACCTGGGGTGGGACGCTGAGGGGCAGGGGAGGGCAAACCGCCCAGTGGCGCCCACGCGGCATCCGTACGGAGTGCACATGTGTGGCATCCCGTACAGAGTGTGCCCGCGTGGCAGCCCATATGGACGCTGTGCAAGCAGCGCCCATACTAACTGCGCACACCCTTGGCCGCTCTACAGCTGGGGGGAGGAAGGGGCCATCTTGTCACTCACTCACTCACACACACACACACCCCAGAGTGGCACCCGGGCCGGCCCGCCCCCTCTGCCCCCCACTTCGTACGCCCCTGTCTCAGGCTCCCTACCAACTCTACAGTTCTATGATTCTAACTGAAAAGGGCCCCCTGAATCCATTTGTTAACTTTTCTAGCTATATATTATGTTATTGAATTGAAATACTTTATTGTCACTTGTACAACTTGTATACAGTGAGATTACACGAGCACCCCCCACTCAGCTCTCTTAGTCTTAATTCCCCTCGTTTACTGACACACACACACACACACACACACACCAAACCCAAAAGTCAGTTGCCCTGTTGTTATCTTTTCATTCAGCAGCCTAACAGCCCACGGATAGAAGCTGTTCTTTACCCTGTTGGTGCGACTAATCATGCTTCTATATCTTCTGCCTGAGGGCAGGAGATCAAGAAGGTGCTGGTCAGGGTGTGAATCATCTCTGAGAATTTTCCTCACTCTACTGAGGCAATGTTCTTCCGCTATTTCATCCAGCGGATTCACAGGACAGCCCATAATATCTTGTGCTGTATTCACCACCCTCTGTAGGCACTTCCTATCAGATGATGTCAAACCAGCATACCACACCGTGATGCAGTAGGAAAGGACACTTTCTACTGTGGACCGATAGAAGGAGATCATCAAATGTTGATTGACATCGTTCTTCTGCAATACTCTGAGGAGATGGAGTCTCTGTTGGGCTTTCTTAACCACCTGGGTTGTATTTATTTTCCAAGTAAGGTCTTCACTGAGATAACCTCCTAGGAATTTAAAGGAAGAGACTCTCTCCACACAGCCCTCCCCGATGTACAGCGGGGCTAGTTCTCCTCTCTTCCTCTGAATGTCCAACACCATCTCCTTTTCCAGCTATATATTATGTTATACTACACATTAACAACGCAGAGGTTGGACGCTTTGAAAGCTGCGCTCGACATTCTCTCATTTGGCTTGTAGCCAAGAGAGGGGCTCAATCCATTTCCCCCTCCCTTTCTGAGCTACTCTGCTGACCTCTGCACACCTGAGCCCAGAGTGCTTGCCAGCAAAGCACTTTAGGGGGGTGGAGCGTCCGTGATATAATGCAAGCCTGCACACGTCCTCCTCTTCTTCCCCAACTGCATCACATCGCAGTAACTGGAGCAGACAAGTAATTACCTGGCAATAAATTTGCGGTGCATGGATGGGTGTGGGCTCAGCAAGTTCCCTAACCCTACACGCACATAAACACACACACACGGCCGGATTTAGGTTTGATGAGGCCCTAAGCTACTGAAGGTAATGGGGCCAGTTATATGTCTAGCTGTCCTTTGTCAACAACAAATGGTGGCTGTTTTTTGTGTTGAATATATGCTCTATGGTAGTTTATGGACCTAATAGGCATCTCAAGCCATTTGCACAAAACAAAATATGTATTTTATCAAAGTAATTGTTGAACTGAAATGAAACTAAGAAGTATATTAATAGTGAAATACAATTAAGAAGAAGTATATCAATGATGAAATAATTATTAAGCTCTAACTTAAAATGGGACACGGGTGGTACTGTGGGTTAAACCACAGAGCCTAGGACTTGCTGATCAGAAGGTCAGCGGTTCGAATCCCCGCGACGGGGTGAGCTCCCATTGCTCAGTCCCTGCTCCTGCCCACCCAGCAGTTCGAAAGCACGTCAAAGTGCAAGTAGATAAATAGGTACCACTCCAGCAGGAAGGTAAATGGCGTTTCCATGCGCTGCTCTGGTTTCGCCAGAAGCGGCTTAGTCATGCTGGCCACATGACCCGGAAGAACTGTCTGCAGACAAATGTCGGCTCCCCCTGCCAGTAAAGCGAGATGAGCGGCGCAACCTGACTTAACTGTCAGGGGTCCTTTACCTTTTTTTTTTTTTTTTAAATGTAGGCTTTATTTTAAAATGGCCCTAAACAGCCTCAGCCCAGTAGATCTGAAGGAGCGTCTCCACCCCCATCGTTCTGCCCGGACACTGAGATCCAGCACCGAGGGTCTTCTGGTGGTTTCCTCCCTGTGAGAAGCCAAGTTACAGGGAACCAGGCAGAGGGCCTTCTCGGTGGTGGCGCCTGCCCTTTGGAACACCCTCCCACCAGATGTCAAGGAAATAAACAACTATTCTGACTTTTAGAAGACATCTGAAGGGAGCCCTGTTTAGGGAAGTTTTTAATGTTTGATGTTTTATCGTGTTTTTAATATTCTATTGGGAGCTGCCCAGAGTGGCTGGGGAAACCCAGCCAGATGGGTAAGATATAAATTATTATTATTATTATTAAGCATATGCAAGAAGAGTTTTGTGCACTGGCCATAGTGGTGAGGGAGAGAAGAGGCAAACCTTGTCAAAGATTTGGCAGGAGCATTAAGCTTTAAGCACGGGCTATAATTGTTGTATTTCTAAAAGCTCTTCTGTTGGCTTGTGCTCACTGATGTCCGGCAAAGCTTGGATCCTCAAAATAGTATCCGAAGAAGAGCTAAGATGTTTATCCAGAGATTAGCCAGACAATGCTATTATTAATGAAAGTGAGCAGGACTTGGGTATTATTCATCAAGCAGCAGGGATTTCAAAAACCAGGCAGCTGCAAAGGTTGCAGCGTGGACCAAAAAGGAACATTCTACTCTTTTTGACACCTAAAGAGCAAATTCAGTGGTTAATGAAACCAACTAGAAAATGCAGGTTCAAATCTCTCGCTATCTGCGAAGAACCTTTTCCGATACTGAGGCACACACTTTTTGTCCTGAATTAAAACAGGAGTGCACCTGAGCATGTAAAAGTGAGGAGTCCAACTCCGTTCTCTCTGTGTGAGTTGCCGATCTGGGTGTGCCTCTTCAGAAAGCCCACGGGAGGAACCAACACAGAGATACAGTGGAATTTTTTTTTTTAAAAGGTAAGATAATTCTGCTACAGGACGTGGGTGGCACTGTGGGTTAAACCACAGAGCCTAGGACTTGCCGATCAGAAGGTCAGTGGTTCGAATCCCCACGACGGAGTGAGCTCCCGTTGCTCGGTCCCTGCTCCTGCCAACCTAGCAGTTCGAAAGCACGTCAAAGTGCAAGTAGATAAATAGGTACTGCTCCAGCGGGAAGGTAAACAGTGTTTTCGTGCACTGCTCTGGTTCGCCAGAAGCGGCTTAGTCATGCTGGCCACATGACCCAGAAGCTGTATGCCGGCTCCCTCAGCCAATAAAGCGAGATGAGCGCCGCAACCCCAGAGTCGGCCATGACTGGACCTAATGGTCAGGGGTCCATTTACTTTACCTTTAATTCTGCTACATCACTGAATTGGATTACACTGGTTGGAGAGAGACTCATCTCCAGCTGAATGGAAGGGGGGGAGGAGGCCACAGAGCATACAGAGACGTAACAGGAGGCTTCCTCTTTGCCAGGGACATTGAGTTCACCATATAAAGACAGAATGGAAAATATAGATAAATATGCTGACCGAGGCCCTCTTTGGAATCGGAGGCCTGGGCCAAGTGGCCCATATGCCCTCCCGCCCCTCTGTCTGGGCCTGCTTGTGACCCCAGCTGTCACGGACTGGCTGGAGAATGATGGAAGGAACCAGCTGGGGAACCCCCAAGGGAAGAAGGCTCAGAGCCCGGGGATTGGTGGTGAGACAACTCTGAGTGGTCAGAAGACTGGGAGCAGAAGGTGTTGGAAGCTGAAGAAGTAACAGGGTTTAGTGAGCAGGAAGAAACTGTGGCAGAGAGCAGTGCAGAATCAGAGGCAGAAGAGGAGGCAGGAGAGGAGGGAGACCAAGAAGCAGGCTGCAGAAGAAGCTGGGGTCTCCCCCTCCTGCTGCAACCAGCCCCCCCCCGGTCTCCTAGGACCAGAAGTG